CCCCTAAAACCCTAAACCCCTAAAACTCCTGAACCCTAAACCCCTAAAACCCCTGAACCCTCAACCCCTAAACCCTAAACCCCTGAACCCTAAACCCCTGAACCCTCAACCCCTGAACCCTCAACCCCTAAACCCTAAACCCTCAACCCTAAACCCTGAACCCTAAACCCCTGAACCCTCAACCCTAAACCCTGAACCCTAAACCCCTAACACCTAAACCCCTAAACCGTCTCGTCAAAAAGTGGGAAAAGAGGGCCACACCAAACCCCGAACCCCAACGACCCGGAGCTCCTCCGAACCCGTTTTGTTAAGTTAAGGGGGCCTTAAGGATTACCTATACTACTTTGGGTTTAGGGTTTAGGGTTTAAGGTTTAGGGTTTAGGGTTTAGGGTTTAGGGTTTAGGGTTTAGGGTTTAGGGTTTACGGTTACTACTTTGGGGGGTTCCTTATTATGGTTATATACTATTTTGCGGGCTCCTTCATTATGGTTGTATACTACTTTGGGGCTCCTTATTATAGTTATATACTACGTTGGGGGGCTCCTTATTATAGTTATATACTATTTCGGGGGCTCCTTATCATAATTATGTACTACTGTAAGGGCTCCTTATTATAGTTATATTCTACTGTGCGCCAAAACCCTATTCTAGTTATTAAGGCCCCTACACCCTACATCACAGGGGGGGCACGTCTGCCCCCACCAAAACACTCGGACTACCCGCACGGCTCGGACAGGAAGACTGGAGCCGGGAGCCTTCAACTGCGAAGCAGTTTGGGAGCTAGGATTAGGGGGACCCTTGGGGATATAGACCCTCTCAATAAGGTCCCTTTTAAGAGAGCCACAAGTAGGGTTCAGAAGGCGTACCCTTTAAGGGGTACCTCTAATAATACTACCTACAGTTGAAGCACCAAGTTAAAGCAGAAGCCGGACTTCAACCACGACCCGTCATCCGTCAACATGAAAAGCTCTTCTTAGGGGCTGAGTACCCCAGCCCAAAAAGGGTTAACCTATTCAATTATAGCAGGGTTATATAAGGCCCTAAAGGTTAAAGGTTACCTACTCAACCCCGAAGTCTTTCAAACCAAGGAATGAAGTACTGACTAGTGCTCGGGCTCGTTTTTAGCAACACTAGGCTCCAACTGATCGAACACATACCTTCAAAGAGCCCTAAAACCCGACGCAACAAGAGCCCAAAGCCTAAACCCCTTGAACCTACATTAGACGCCCGAATCAACCTGCACCCTAACCCCAACCCCCAGACCGCCAGCGTTCATGTAGAAGAGACCCTAAAGCCTAAACCCTTAACATTGTTGAACCAAAAAAACTATTAAAACCCTGGCCCCTATTCAGGGAAGTAGGGGCTTACCCTACTTGCAAAGAGAGGGGCCTGAAAAAGGGGATAGTGTTCTACACGATTTCTCCATCTTAGATTTGCCGCCCCCTATCCCTCTTACAAACATGTGTGAAACATCCATGCAACACACCCTTTGAAAAAGTCTAAAAAGCCCGATCACCGGGAAGCCGTGCCCTTAGGGTCTTAGAGCGCCGGGGCTCAAGTAGAAGCCCCCGATGGTGATCCAGATGCCTTCGACTCCCTGGCCTAAACCGAGTAACAGCTTCGATCGCAGAGAGAGCTGGTCCTGGTGCGACACTCTGTGTGTGTGTGTTGCTGGCGTTTTGTGCTTCTTGTTGGTTCGTGTGTCTTTTTAGTTTCTGTGTGTTGCTGCAGTTTTCGGCTCTGAGTGAATGTGGGCTTTCTGGTGTCTGCTTTTCTTTGTGTGCGTGTGTGCAGCCTTTTGCGACTGTAGCTTGCCTGCTAGGGTTTTAGGCTTTGGAGCCGTCTCCGGATTCGGCTTTGAAGGGTTTGAAGTTGTGGAGCATGGGTTTTTGCTTATAGGTTTGTGTTATTTAGGGCTCATGTGTTTAAAGGGGTAGGCTTTAGGGCTAACCGGCTTATTGAGCCTCAAGTTAAGTGTTTAATAATGCTACTGCTGGTGCTGTTGGGATGATTTTTAGCGTATTTCGGCCATGACGTCAAGGTAATAATTGTGGTTATGACATGTGGTACTGAGTTATACCAGGTATACCCTTGTTACCCCTTTGATTTCAATGACGGTAATGATGATAGTGCGGATGATGACCAACATTGCTCTTGCGATGGTCTGAATGATGATCAAGGGTGGTGATTCGCGTCACATAAACCGAGAAAGTTTCCTGTACTTATGTATTGTTGTTTGGATTATGTCCGCTTGCAAACGGTGTTGCAGGCGTGGCCACAGGGCTCAGGGTCCAGCGACGTAAAGAGCTGCAAGTAGGTGGCTGCGGCAGATGGGATACTCCTGTTGGGCCCTGAGCCCTTAGCCTAAGTCCATTATGCACCTCATCGTCTGATCTTTGGGCTGGGTTACTACCCATAGGCCCCATAGTAGTTCCTCTTTGGGGGTTCATATTTAGAATCCTATAAGGTAATCCCAAAAAGGAAAATACTATGGGGCCTATGGGTGCTTGCTAGTGCTACTGCATCCTGGATGCTACACCGACCCTGAACGTGAGAGCCTAAGCCGATGTCCCAGAAGCGCAAAGGATGGTTCTCTAAGTCAGGGTCCCTTTTAGTGTGCCTTCAGGGTGCCGGCCTCTACTGGGTTCCTACAGTTTAGGGTTTAGGGTTTAGGGTTTAGGGTTTAGGGTTGAGGGTTTAGGGACGGACCCTAATTTGGAGAACTACCCAAACTCGAAGGTCCAAACAGGTCCTGGACGGTTGCTGCGGCTTCGGCTTTCACGCCGGCCATCGTTCGTGTGTTGGCGGCTTCACCGACTAACTTTGGTGCTCATGCCAAGTGCTGAAGAACATCGATTGTGCCACAAAAGCTGGACCCCAATCCAGCGTCTAGAGGTCTGACGCAAAGTCTAGGTGTCGAAGACCCATGCACAGTAGAGGGTTTGGGGAATATTGGTCTCCAAAGATTCGTGGTGGTCCTTCTGGACACCCCGTGAATTTAATAACAAGGAGCTAAGCTGGTGAGCCGACAAGGCAAACAAGCGGGGTCGAATTCTGAGCTACCGAGACCCTCCATTGCAGAACAGTGGAGTTCATTGGAAGGTTTCCATTCTCAGGGTTACAGTTAATTGTTCATGCCGTGGTCAGGATCGGACAACCAGCCGGCAAACAACGAACGACACCGCAAGTGATTGTCCGTCTCAACCGACCAGAACGGATCTTTCAGCGACAGGGTCCTTTTCCTTTTCGAATAAACTGCAGGGCCGTACAAAAACATAGAGTGCGGATTGAAATGAACGTCTAGGTAGAGCCCGCATCACACCACTCCATGGGACAGATTTGCGATTGAGTTCGTACTGCTTCACGAAACCCGAAAGCAAGGAACTCGAACCCAAAATTGCAAACAGAGAATCCCAAATCCTACACACCAAATTCTAGAATGAACTCACAATGCCCAACCGCCTGAAACCTACGATGTGGTCCCAAACCCTCAAACACTTTAGACTTTTTCGCAAATCTTACACCCATAGTCCCAAACTCTAGGACAGACCCCAAGCCCTCCGTAAGCCCCGTAAACTCTAAACCCTAAACCCCGAAACCCCTAAACCCCTACAATCCCTAAACCCCTACAAACCCTAAACCCCGAAACCC